CTATCTCTCTCGATCTCTCTCTCTCTCTCTCTCTCTCTCTTCTCTCTCTCTCTCTCTCTCTCTCTCTCTCTCTCTCTCTCTCTCTCTCTCTCTCTCTCATGCACACACACACACTCTATGACACACACAGAGTGACAGAGGCTGGGGCACAGAGAGTAAAGACACTGATACAGACACTCCAGTTTATACTGTATATGTACAACCTACTGTGGACCTTCGTTATACTCAGGACGTGCCTATAGGAGGACTGAGGGAACCTGGGTAACTACAATCAGTGGGGTGTGATAACTTGATGGGGGGGGGGTCATCAGTTTCTGTCCGGGTGGGGGTCTGGAGGGTTTGGATAAACAGCTCAGGGGTCAGCTGGAGAATTGGGCTCCTGTGCCCCTCTTTGATGTCCTCAGTGCAGTGAAGGCTCGTCTTCTTCATCGTCATCAGCTTGTCATTCTTCATCATCAGTCTGCTCCGGAGAGGAGAGTTAAGGGCATTTGGATTCTCCAAAGAAGCTCTGCGGGGAGAGGGGGGTCAGTCAGAGCGCTGCGAGGCATCTCACCCCCAATATCACCAAAATGACTAACTAACTAAGTACATTTACTCAAGTACTGTATACTTAAGTACACTTTTGAGGTACTTGTACTTTACTTGAGTATTGAAATGTTTAGCTACCTTGTACTTCTACTCCACTACAGTTCAAAGGTAAACTGTGTACTTCTACTCCACTACATGTATTAGTTACTTCACAGATGTGGATGAATGATGGTAAATCTAATCAAGTGTTGAATCAGACTTTAGTTCCACCTGGAGTAAATCCACCAGCTACCCTGCAGTATACAAAGCCATTCAGACTAGCTGCACCTTTACCAGCTTATTCATATTAGTTCACATTTTAAGAGTAGACGGTATTTCACAAATCCTGCACGCCACCTCCAGCTCCTACAAAGTCTCTCTTATCCATCCACGGAACAGAAACAGTCACACAGCGTGACACGGTGGAGGAGCCGTCCCACATCCTGCACGCTGCCTCAGAACATCTTCCCTTCGTGGGAGAAAAACTCCTGCACTGTTCCTGTTCCTCTCCACTCAGCCTTCCTACTGATGCACTTTCTGAAACCTGAACAGCAGCAGTAACTCTCACCACCTTTTCAAAGATTCCAGTGAAATTCAAACTTGACATAACCCTTATGATTGTTATATCAAATACTCACCCCTTGTTAGCATCTATTTTTAAAGAAAAACATTTTCAAACACTGTTTATGAACTAGTGTGTGAAATAGTATGATCTTTTAAAAACAGTGCATATGTTTGGGATAACACCAGTTGTGTGAGAGTTTGGATATTTTCACAAAGTGCCTGTTTGGCATGTGAGGATTTTTTTGAATAAGAATTGAAGGCAACACGGCTGAATTTGATACACGGAGGATGTGTGAGCCTCACAGGTGGAGTGGAGCCTCAGTTAGAACTGCCCGGCGCTGCTGGGGTCACACTGCAGCAGGCGCACGATGGAGGGGTCGCTCTTCGCTCCTTTGATGAACTCCTCCAGAGACAGCTTACCTGAAGAACACAAGGCAGGAACTCATTGAGCGACCTCACATTCTCAACACATGCAGACTGAGAGTTACCACTATAGACTGTATATATAACAAACACTTCTGAGAGACACACTTTGTTCACATAACAGCTGCTGGCCAGCTAACCAAGCTGTCCGATGCATTTGCAAGTTTAAAGTCTGTGTTGTTCCATTTGACTAAAACCCATCAATAAACCAATTCCATCAGGTTATTCAAATGATTTGTATGCGTGTCCGTAGAAATACTGAAGAGAATTTTAAAGTCTTTGTATTTAAAGTTACCGTCTCTGTTGGTGTCCATCTGCTTGAAGATCTTCTCCGTCCTCTTCTCAGGTGTCGACTCGTCCTCAGGCATCTTCATGACAGAGGACACCATCTTGTAGATTGCCTACAAAGAGACATAAAGGAGGTCATATAATTCATCTCTAAACACTTTCTTATTTGAACTAAAGGTATTGAAGCTGGCTCTCTGGCTGCAGAGGGGGGGCTGCTGCATGCTCAGGTCTTTTCTTTGAACGATGGATATGGAATTGATTGCTTTAATGTACGGTAACGGATGACCTCACATGTACCCATTCATCTTTGAAGCCATTATTTTAAAACGTTTTATTTGCCTCTGTTAATACTTCCACTCTTTTCAACAGTTCATTTACATTAAAATGGGTTCATTTCTCAAACTTCTTATCTTCAATATAAATCTTACTCAGAAATGGGATTCCTAAGTGACAACTGTAGGGCACTTTTTTTCTCTGCTGTTTGTATTTGATTTCAGATGTGCACCGCTTCTCATTACGTGCAGACTATGTCTGGATCAGGCCTCACTGCTCCACTCAGCATGGCTTGCTCTGTTTTGGTTTTTCATTAGCAAAAGATGTGAATAGTACAAAGTAGGAGTTAAACACTGCCGAGCACTGATGGTGGAAGAGAATATTTTATTGTGCACAAACCGGACATTACTATTTTATTGTCGTGCCAGCCCGGGAAACTACGCTGTAAACTACACCGTACAATTGACAAAGTAAATACGTTCTTCTAATTGGTTGCCAATAAAAGGATAGGAACTGGTACCAAAAGGGAGTCGAGTCAAGCCAGTGAAACATATGGATCAATTACGTTTTTTATACTGGCGTCATTTAAGATAAGAAGTACATTGAATTTATAATGGGGACGCTGGGGACATGTCTCCAACACTTTTGAAAGTGACCAATTTTGTTGGTAATTGTCCCGCTATGCATAGTACTGATTAGTTGTCAAAGAAAGTATTGTAAGTATATATCTGTATGTATATATGTACAGTATGTATTGGGAGTTTAATGCAGTAGTGTTTTTATGAAATCAACTTTTTCTAACAAAGTGATTCATGATTCCGGTCTGTGCATCCAGACTGCAGACACTGCTTCACTGTTTGTGAGATCCACTTTCAGGTAGGGGGGGGTGAAGACAAAACATGGGAACAGACTATTTATCAGTGTTGTGTCTCCTCTGCTCTCTGTTGCTTTGCAGGGGGTTTGGCAGTAAACAGTGAAATCACAGCCCACTGTGTCTGTAATAAGGAGGTGGATTGAGGGGAGGGGGCGCTGACGTGTGAACAGAGGAGGCTGATTGTGATGGCAGTGCAGCGGGGGCTGTAAAGAGGTGCTGTTTATGCTCTGTTCCTGGGTCACCGTGGAGCTGAGGAACCTCGCTCAAACTGCTGTGACTGTTTGATACATTTAGCCAATATTACATGTTGAGGGGTTTCACTGTTGGTCTAATCCAGGGAAACGCTGGGGAAAAGATTACATTTCTAAATCCCCAAATTACAAGCAGCCAATACAAAGTGAAAGGATCTGGAGTTCACAGTGCTTAACGGAGCCATGGAGCTCCATTGATTATAAATGGTCCTTATTGACCATGAACACACACACTTTCAGATCAGACAAACACCGTCCAGGTGAGTGAGCAGTGGTCTACTCAGGCTATATTCATGTTTTCACCAGGGCTTCACAACAGCCTGTGAAGACTAATTAACAACATTATAGGGAGAAACCTGGTGGAAGACATCGTAAATCCAATTAAAAACCATGACAACCAAGAGGGTTGCTCGGATGACCAGATGAGGAAAACTTTAGGATTATATCAAGGAATTGTAGTACACAATTACAACATCTTAACAGATATCAAGCACATACCTACTATGCAATTTAGAAAGTGTGTATATATGGAAATATTTATTTTCCTCTATGATTGCACTAAAGACCTGTATTCAATAAGAAAATAATCAGTATACAAAAGGTTTACACTGTGTCACTTGTAAAACTAATTGTAAATAGTTATTTTTTGGTAAAGTAATATGATTTATTTCTTGCCTAATGAAGAGTAATACCAAACAGAGAAAGACAATCTTTACTCAGGAGGTCATTGTTGATAAGACTGGGAATCTCGAACAAACCCATTTCTTCCTAATAACCTTTGCCTACTGTAACTTAACAACATGTACATATATGTCAGATATCATCTAGGCCCACATGGAAGGAATATATATGAACTAGGGCTGTCAAACGATTACAATTTTTAATCAGATTAATCACAGCTTAAAAATTAATTAATCATGATTAATCACCATTCGAACTATGTCCAAAATATGCCATTTATTGATGTATATTGTTGTGGGAATGGAAAGATAAATGAAAGAAGGCGGATATATCCATTTAACATACAGTATCTATGTTTATTATAACATTTGTCTGCGTGTCAAAATGAAAGACAACCCACACACCTATCAATCATCAAACCGTGGGGTCTTAATTCATTACGTGTTGATTTCTATCAACGGGGGAGTACTTCAGGAAAGTCGACGGGGGGCGCGCTAGTGGAGTACTTGGTGACCACAGAGTGTGAACGTTGTGATCAGCTGTTTTAGCGCAGTTCTCCAGTGAAGGGGGGGAGTCTCCCTCCGCAGCCGGTTGGCGTTAGAGATGGCAAATCCGGATCATTTTATGGACTCGGAGTCTTCTGAGTCAATCATTGAAGAGATCCGGATCATACGAGTCATTTGAGTCATATGAGTCAGCATGACCAAGACCGTAGAAATCCTACCGGTGAAACCGAAAAGTTGTTGCATTTAACCAGCATATTAAACTAACGTTACATTAACCTCCGCTACACAGTGTCTTTTGCTTTAATAAAACATGTGTGTGTGTGTGCATTTTCAAAAATAAGTGTTTTGCATTATATGTATATAGTTATTTTAATATGTTCCTGTACTTAAGCTAATTTTGCACAATTGTGTTTTCATTTAATAATAATAATAATAATAATAATAATAATAATTGTATAATTACATTTTATATATTCTAACTGTTTTGCAATTTTCTATCATTTGTTTCTTTTTGTGTGCCATGTTCAAAATAAACGAGTTTCCAAGTAAGATCCTTATTGGAAATGCAGATATTATTACAGGAGACTGTTGCACAACATGACCATTTTGTTAGAAGTCTACACTGAAACTTAATTTAGAGCCGGAAAAATCGCGGGATCCGTGAATCCAGGTCAATGATCGAGAGAGACCAGTAGCCTACGAGGACTCAGAGCCGTAACATATAGCAGGCAGCAGATCCAGAGATCCAGCAGACTCGTCCCCATGCACGAATCTACAGCAGACTCAGCCCCTCCTCCGGCTCGCACGGCTCCCGCGAGTCCCACGGCTCCCGCGAGTCCCACGGCTCCCTCGACGAGTCGCAGCAGACTCAGAGATTTGCGGACTCACGGCTCACGGCTCACTCACGGCTCACGGCTCACTCACGGCTCCCGCGAGTCCAACGACTCACGGCTCACTCACGGCTCACGGGACTCTCGCGGGAGCCGGAGGAGGGGCTGAATTTGCTGTTGATTCGTGCATGGCGACGAGTCTGCTGGATCTCTGGATACAACAACGTTGTAATGTGATTGTACACGTTATAAAGAGAGTAAAGAGTGACGCAATTTATAGTTTTAATTGTTACGTCACATCAGGTGTAGGACTCAAAGGACTCGGGTTAATCGAGAGGGAGACTCGTCACGACCGGCTCATTACTAGGATCCGGGTTAATGATCCGGATGAATCATGACTCGCCCATCTCTAGTTGGCATAGTTTTGGCACAATTTCGTTGTACAGACCGACGTTAACAGCAGCCCTGTCTGTGCACACGGAGACCGACTCTGTCGTCCGGTGATCTAACCGCCTTCTGGAAAAGCTTCACAAGTACGTCGGTACGCAAATGCGCTTTGTGACACAAGTGACGGTACGCATTTCAGATTACGCACATAACCTGCGTACCAGTTATGTGCACCCCTGTACTACAGCAAAAGTATTCTCCGTCGGGACTTCCTGCAACAACACCACGCCGTTATCTTGATTCTGATTGGCCAGAAGACATTATCAAAGATGTTCTATTGAGAAGACGATCACTACGTGACAAACGTTTTCAAAACCGTGGCTACTGAAATCAATCTTACTAACTGCTGTCTGTGCAATTTACTCCGCGCGAGTTGGCAGACTTTATTTTGCTTACTTTAACATCATTTTTCATGGTAGGGCTAAGCCATTTCTGGTGTAGCCTACCCCAGCCATACCCTGGCGCTGCCACTGGTGGCACGTATGGGGCGGGCCATTCTGCACATGCGTTAAATGCGTTACATATTTTAATGCAATTAATTCAAAAAATTAATTACCGCCGTTAACGCGATAATTTAGACAGCACTAATATGAACCTCTATATTTTTAATATATGTCACATATATGTTTAACATATATGTGACATATCTGAAATTGGACCCCTACATATATGTCTCTGAACATATATGTACATATATAAACATATATGTACATATATGTCTCTGAACATATATGTACATATATAAACATATATGTACATATAAGCACACACATATATGTACATATATGGGTGCAGTGTATATGCACATATAGGTTGCACATATAGGTTTCACATAAATGCACATATATGTAAAACATATATGTGCATAGTTTTTTCGTCGCCATTCAAGTAATTCTCTTCATGAAAATCTCGAACACAGTCAATCGGCAGAATGCTCCTAAGTCCCTTGTCTCTACCTTCTGTCCACTCCACCAAGGCAAACGTGCACATGGTGACATTAATGTAATTTAATTTGTATGTTTGTTCTGTCTGTTGTGTTTTCCTGTATCCGCGAGCGGTTGGAATTTGAAAGAGCGGGCACTCTGGCAGCACGTGCACATAAACAGGGGGATGACGTCATGAATGCGCGCTCGTTGTGAGTGGCGCTTTTCTATGACGTCACATTCTGCAGCGAATGTCTCTATTATTCTCTAATAATATTAAAAAACGTAAACAATTAAAGGTAACATTTAGTGAAAACTTGTGGTTCAG